TCGGAGAGGAAAAAAAAACAGGAGGGGGGGGGGGGGAGGGAGGGAGGGAGGGAGGGAGAGAGAGACGGAGAGAGACGGAGAGAGAGAGAGGTGAGTGTGGGTGTGTAGCCCTGAACATTCACTCCATGTATCTAGAAGCAGGCTAGATATCTATGAAATCTGATCCTGTAATAAATCATTTAGTTTAAAATCTGCTGTACAACTATTTATTGTTTTGAACAGTATGTATTTAGACTTATGTATGAAGGAGGATCAAGACATGTATGTAAGTCCCCTATTATCCCTGCAGGCTTGGCTGCCTTTTAGAATTTCACATGTTCAGCAAAAAGATCTGAAAAGGACTCCTCAAGTACAGTTACTGGGACTTTGTGATTGGAGATCCTATTAAAGCAGAATGTGTAACAACACACACCTTGCTACATTATTCCTCTGGATTAGCAAGTGCTGCATAGGTTTATAGAGTAATATCGGATGGATGTATCAGATGATTAAAAGCCAGTTCACCTGTTAATCAGGAAGTAAGAAGTCCTGTGTCATTGCCAATCACTTAGGCACCGTTTATTGTTTCTCACTATATGTGCATATAGATGCATATACAGTGGTGTCCCGCATAGCGAGTGCCTCGGTCAATGACGAATCCGCATAGCGATTCAGTTTTTGCGATCGCTTTTGCGATCGCATTGCAGTGTTTTTAATGGCAAAACATTGCATTGCGATGATCGGTAAGCGTGTTAAAAAACAGCTGATCGGCGGTTCCAAAATGGCCGCTGGAAAAAATGGCTGCCTGCAGTGTTTTCACACCCTTTCCTCGCTTACTGGGCAGCGAAAATGGTGACTGGATGGAGGATTTCCGCATAGCGGTGAGTTTCCCCCCATAGGAACGCATTAAACAGGGTTTAATGCATTCCTATGGGGTTTTTCGTTCCGTATAGCGACGATTCCGGATAACGACGATTTTGCTGGAATGGATTATCGTTGCTATGTGGGGCACCACTGTAGATGGATGACCAATGTATATGTAGACAAGGTACTCATATAGCCATCCATTAGAGGTGGTGGTGGTGGTGGTTGTTATCGTGCTGCTGCTTCTGATTTTGTGACATGAATTGGATCACTTCATAAGTCCATAACATCACATCATTCATTGTATCACCTCATAAGGGCATATTGTCCTCTCAGTGCTCAGTTGATTTCCTGTCTAGATCTTTTAATGCTTTTGAAAGCAGTGAGGTTTTGGTGGACAAGGACGAAATGCTCCTGAAAATGATGAGCTCTCAGATAAATAGCAGAGAAACTAAGCAGTTTTTTCTGCCCTTTGAGTGAAATCATGTGGTTTAATCTTAAAATGTCAAAGGTTCTTCTTCCATCTTTTTCAGACTTTAGTAATAATTGAGACATTCCTTAGGGTGCAACCAGACAGTAATATAGGATCATGCAGGATTGTGTTGGGAAGGGTTGCTTCCTGGATATGATATTCTTTTAAAGTGACTGTTCCAGGTATATGTGGTCTGATCCAGATCATTCCAGTCCGGCTCCATAAAAAAACCCAGAAAGGTCCGGATTGTGCACAGGATATGATTCGGATAGTTTGTGATTTCCTGTACGTCATATAGTCACTGGAAGACTGCTCAAACCAGACCATGTCACAAGCAGTCCAAACATGAGGTGTATTGCTATCTGCACTACACCCTTTGTTCTGTTCAGCATGCAAGGAGGAAAATGCCCCATCCCACCCTCTCTATTGTTGCTTTCCTCATGTGGAAAAGAACGAATCTGAAGTGAAGGGATTCTCTTCTTGCTAGTAAGAATGCTAGAAAATCTTCCTATTTTTTGCTGTCTGTTTGAGGAAGGTAATGATGGAGGGGACAGGTCTATTGCTACAATTTTGTATGTTGAAAAGAATCAGGTAAATAATACCTGAATAGAGTTGTTGTTGTTGTGGTGGTGGTGGTGGTGGTTGTTTACCTTTATAGCAAGTGACCCAACCTCATTGCAAGAAAAAAAAAACAATCTAATGAATTTAAGTTTCAAATAGACTTTCTGTTTTTATAAACCTTAAAATATTGTGGTTAAGGATAGGCAACATACGTGACTGAATGTTGAAACATTAACTGCATCTGGTGTATTTGTACAGTGGTACCTCGCAAGATGATTACCCCTCAAAACAACAAATCCACAAGACAATGATGTTTTGCGACCGTCATTTTGGTTTGCAAAACAGTGATTTATATGGGGGAATTTCGCTGATGACAATGATGTTTTGCGACCGCCATTTTGCTTCGCAAAGTGATTTCTATGGGGGAATTTCGCTGAATGACTATTTGGTCCATGCTTCACGGACTGTTTATTCGCAAGACGATGATTTAAAACATCTGATTGGCAGCTTGTTCTTCGCAAAACAGGTGTTTTTCGGCCCGTTTTTTTGCAAGACAGCTTGTTCTTCGCAAAACGGGTGTTTTTCGGCCCGTTTTTTTGCAAGACAGTGATTTAAAACAGCTGATCAGCACTCACAGAATGACTGCTCTATGGGTGATCTTCGCAAAACGATAAGGTATTTTCCCCATTGGAATGCATTAAACGGGTTTCAATGCATTCTAATGGGGAAATGGTTCTCGCATGACGCTGATTTCTCTAAACAGTGATTTTCACAGAACGGATTATCATCATCATGCGGGGCACCACTGTATATTTCTCAGGTAACTGCTGAGTGAACACTCGTGGGTCGTGTGGCACTCTTCATGGATCTTTCATGTTATTTATATATCACATCTAAGTCAATTTTATTTGCACATTCAGGGAAAAGATGTTTTCTATGGAGATCCAGAAGTGTCCAAATATCAACATGGACACAGACAAGAACAGGGCAGGACAGATATCAGTCTGTGGGTCCTTAAACCAAATCAGGGGTTGGGCAGTGCACATCCCTGTTTACAGTTACAATAAATAGAATAGGCTGAGTTAAATGCCTTCCTGCAGACATGCCAAGAAAACATTTTACTGGGAAGAACAGAAGATATATTTTGGCTATGGTGAGGATCGTCATTCTGATTGCTTGAATCCAGGAAGCGGACGCATCTTGGATTTTTGCAACAAGGGAAAAGGACTAATGGCTGATTTTTTCCCTCTGTCTTTTGCAAAACCTACCTGCTCATTTGCCAGTGGTAGTGTAAAAAATTGTGTCAGCACACTATGAAGTTAAGAAGCTTTTATATTGTTCAGAGTTCAATGTTCTGTGCCACTTGACTGGCTTAGGATGCAGCTTCAAGTGCAGTCGCCTGGCACATCAGCTTAGAATCACGCTGGCAAACAAAGCCCAGGATCAAATGTTGATTGTACTGTGTTACCTCTGAGCACCATGTACAGGTGTTCTTTTTTTGCTAGCACAGAAGTGTTAATACTTCTGAGAAATGTGTGCTTCCACTGAAACAATATTCTAACACTTGTACTTTCAGAGATTAAATTCTTCAAAATTCCACTTTATGAATGTGGGATATTGTTCTTCTCTATCCACCACTTGAAACTCCTGGAAATAGCACACTATTATTGCACAATAGTGTATCTGTGTTGCCAGCAGAGAAAAGTTTGCCTAATTTACATAGCAAAGGTCAGGCCGAATGTTGACAACACTCATGGCAGAAGTCAAGATGGTCTATGGCAGCCATTCTCAACCTGTTTTTGGCCTTTACCATAAACACAATTGTCGCGACTGCCACCTCCTCCTACGTCACCACCAGAGATGACAGGTCACGATCCTTCTCACACACACACCCAACTTCGCTGCCACCAACCACACATAAACCTGACACTTCAGACTTAGTATGGATTTCAAAATAAAAATGATGATTTATTGAATACAAACATAAAATGGAAATCACTGAGTAAAAGAATCACTTGTCACACTATATTTCTCAGACCTTAACCCTGCACCGTTCTTTGTTACTTAACACTCAATTCTTCAGTTACCTAACCTATATCTAACCCTGTCTACAGATCTTCCTTCAAGCCCTCTCTCACTCTCCCACTCTCTAATTCTCTAATTAATTCCCCCTCTTTGCACTCCCCCCTTATATACAAAAACTCCACCCCTTTAAGACCCACCTCCTGCCCTGCCATAGGCTAGGAAACTCCAGCCTTAGCCAAGACAGGCAGGTGACGTCATGGCACACGTCACAACAATAAGTCACATAATGAACCTTATAAGGTGGTGTGTGGAGAATTGCTTCCAATCATGGCCTTCAAAAGTGCCAGGCCCTCATTAATTTTTTCTTTATTTATTTTAAATACTTTTTACCCCACCTTTTTCCTTAAAAAGGACTGAAGACAGCTTCCAACATTGAAAGACAATACTTGAGAATGGATGGCCTACAGTCAGCACCCTCTTGTGCTCACTACTGTTCAAAAAAATGACACTGAATGAGGGAAAATATCAGAAGCTGACTCTTTTGTTCATTAGTTAACTACTCTTCACCCAAACACAAAACAATTGTTGTGGCTTTTTTTGACAAGTGTGAATTACCACAGTCAGCAGAAAGGCAGAACAGTAAATACTCAATCAAGTCAAGTCTGAACTTTCACTAGAGTAAAAATGAGTAAACTGAGACCATCCTACCATGCACATATAATGAGAATACATCCCAAATACTGTATTGCATGCCCTAGCCCTGTGCCAGAAGGATACGGGCCAGCTCTTAAAGGGGAAAGATGCATCACTTTAAGTAGAAAAACAAGCAAATTAGGTCTTTTTTTCTGTCCCAAACAGTGCTATCTAGGAACCATATATCATAACTAGATGCCAATGTAGGTAGGCTTTAAATTACTGAAATCAACATGTTATTTTTTCTGTCTCTCTCTCTCTCTATCTGGGTGTGCCTGTCTGTCACTAGAGAATATCTTTGCTTTAATATTCTTTCCCTTTTTTACTTTTTTGATCCCATCCCCCAGCAAATACCAATCCAATATGATCTCCCATATTTGCCTTCCCTTTTCTCTTCATATAAACCCCTTCTGAAATAGACTAGCTGCTGTTTTGGTTCACTGCTATGGGCTACTTTAAGCTAGGGAATTCATAGCAGAGTTTAAACACTTTATTATGGACTTCATGGGCGTGGGCAGTCTCAGTGGTCTCAGAACTGTTCACCCAAGAGCAGAAGAAATTGGACATGGCTAGAGAGACCAGTTTACACCTGATTTGCCAAAATTAATGCAGTGGTATGGTTTGCTTCAGTGGGTTTAATAGAAATATGGACTTAATTGAAGAAAATGTGTTAACTGGAAAATCCTGTGTTTTTTTTTTTTTTAAAGCCATTAAATTGGCTTATGGAGGGATTCTTTGGAGGCCATAAAGCTTAGCAAAAAGCACCCTTCATTCTATGCATGTTTTGAGCAAACTAACTAAATAAAATAATAATAAACATAGACCACCTGGTGTCCAATCCTGCACTACCCCATCCAGAATAGTCACATAGCTTGTTGACTGGGGGATTTTGGAGAAAATAACTTTGCTAGCCTCTCCCACTCAAATGAATGGAAGACTTCATTGAGTGCTTGGAAAATTTTGTAATATAATTTAGACATCTGTCAATCTTCTTTATTCATTTACTAAGGTGTAAGACCTATTTTGATACCGTTGAACACAGTATTCTCCTGGGGAGGCTCTCCAAGCTGGGAATCGGTGGTCTGGTACTTGCTTGGTACCAATCCTTCTTGGAGGACCGCCCTCAAAGAGTACAGCTTGAGTGTATCGGCCTCGTGGAGTCTCAGTTGTGGCGTGCCACAGGGCTCGATTATCTCCCCATTGCTATTTAATATCTACATTCACTTACTTTAGCTTCTATGGCTTCACTACCTAGGCTATATGTTCCTAGCATTGCAACTTCAAACCATTAATAGATTAATTTTTAATTTATTCAGGATCTGAGACATCCAGTCTTTCAAAGACTAATCATACAGAGCTGTACTTATTGAAGTCTTGCTTCTCACAGGACAATTGCCAGAACAATGACTGCATGTTTTGCCTCATATTTTCATTTCTGTAAAGGCTGGAGTTTTCCTCTTTTAAATTTTTTTTTTAAAAATTGAAAATTTAGAATCCAAGCTAAGTTGGTGGACTACATCAACACTAGCAGGCATACCTGAAATCCAGGTAAAACCTGGCCAACTAGACAATAGGGCAAGCCTAGATAATAGGGCATAAATGGGGATATGGTATCCAAAGCCATGTTATTAACAGTCAGAGAGCAAAGTGGCATATGAAAATACTGCATCTGGAGTAGTATTTCTGGTAGTAATGGGATCAGAAGCCATGGCATGCATGTGAGAGGTAGAATGCTATCAGTCACTAAGTATTGGGATTATGGTGAACTGATTTCCTTTTTTTTTTTTTTGATTTTTTTAAAAAAATCTGATCTGTTATTTTTCAGTATGTTAGGTGTAATATCTCAAGGTGACCTAGTTTAAAGTTGGCATAGGTTACCATTAGTGTATGGTGGATCACTATCATGTGGATTACCTTCAAATAGAGATTCAGTATATATCTATTTTATTTCTGTGATTTGTCTGTTGCACTTGAATTATATAAATGAATACAGTACAGAGAATCAAATTATCCCACAGTGTTAAAAAAGGGCTAACCAATGTGTGAAGAACAGAAAGCAAAAGCATTCATAAAACACTTAGATTCCTGCAAATGGTTGAAGAGACGACACAAAAATATAAGGAGCTGTGCATTCTTGAATTTAAGAGCAGTGCTATTTAATTTTAAATTGTGCAAATAGGGAGTGTCCAAGCGCATGGAGTCAGTATGTGATATGGTGAAGAAATAGAGAGAGTTTACTGTCAGTCACTTTATTACAGTTGTTAGTAAAGATCTCTGGTATTGTAAACTATGTAACCCTTCCATCACTTCCACTTTCATCAGTGTTACACTCTAAAAACATTATTTATTTCCAGAATGGAATTTTAGTAAAAGTAACAGAGACCTGTCCTCCACTGAACTGCTCAGAAAAAGACTACATCCTCCCAGAGAATCGATGCTGCAGCGTATGCAAAGGTAAGTAAGATATTATCAGCTATTCTCTAACAATGTGGCTTAATGAGTAAAGTGTAGAATCTGGATATGGGTAATACTGGTTTGCATGCTGATGTCTAACATTAGTTTGCTACCGAGGTGATATTAACAACAGTAATATCTGTCAATATCAGATGTTCTTTTTAAGGTCACAAGCAGATTTAGCACAAACATAACTGTACAGTGCATTGCAGTTTATTTATTTAAAATTCCTCCCATTAGAAGAAGAGTGACCAATGAATGCCATTAAATAAACAAACAAATAAATAAAAACGTAAACCTCACATTTTTCCCTTAACTCAAGATGGCATATGAATAGCAACCGTATCATAGTGTTAAAATCATCTTGTTATAAACATGTCATAAAAGAGCATGTTGTTGTTTAGTTGTTAAGTTGTGTCAGACTCTTCATGACCCCATGGATCAGAGCAAGCGAGGCCCTCTTGTCTTTCACTGCCTCCCGGAGTTGGGTCAAATTCATGTTGGTAGCTTTGATGACACTGTCCAACCATCTCATCCTCTGTCGCCCCATTCTACTCTTGCCTTCACACTTTCCCAACATAAGAGGCTTTTCCAGGTAGGCTTCTCTTCTCATGAGATGGCCAAAGTATTGGAGCCTCAGCTTCAGGATCTGTCCTTCCAGTCAGCACTCAGGGTTGATTTCCTTCCTTCAGAATGGATAGGTTTGTTGTCCTTGCAGTCCAGGGGACTCTCAAGAGTCTCCTCCAGCACCACAATTCAAAAGCATCAATTCTTTGGCGGTCAGCCTTCTTTATGGTCCATCTCTCACTTCCATAAATTGCTACTGGAAAAACTATAGCTTTGTCTATGCAGACCTTTGTCAGTAAGGTGATGTCTCTGCTTTTTAAGATGCTCTCTGGGTTTGTCATTGCTTTCCTCCCAAGAAGCAGGCGCCTTTTAATTTCCTGGCTGCTGTCACCATCTGCAGTGATCATGGACCCCAAGAAAGTAAAAATCTGCCACTGCTTCCACAGCTTCCATATTTAATACTAAAATCACCAGTCAGGAAAACATTTAGCAGAATGCTGTTGAGAAGACAGCTGAATGCTGAAAGAAACTAAGTGTGTGTGGGAACTCTGCAGGGCAAACATTCTGTTAGATGGGACCACTACAGAAACGTTCTTGTAACTGTAATTTGCCGTCTTATAAACTTGTGGTGTCTAAGCAAGGGCTGAGATTTTAGTAGAGCATTGATAGAAGAAAAATGGTGGTCCTTAACAAGGTGGTTTTCCCAGATGCACAATCAAACATTTCTCATGGATTGCTGTGGGACTCAGAGCTATTTCTAGAATTTAATTTTAATAAGTTCCCAATAGATGTTATTATTAAACATGCACTTAAGTTGTTCTGCATGCAGGACTTTAATAACTGAGATTTCACACTTCACAAAATCCCCCCCCCAACCTTACATTTTGTAGTTTGGAACACCAGAGTACGAAATAAATGTATTTAATGTCACTTATGAATAGTGCAAACATGTGAAAACCATCTCCTTGTCTTCCTGACCGTGTGTAAGACCCAGGTTAAGAGTTATCAGGGAAATGACTTCTGAATCAACCCTAGAATCTGGGTTTCTAACCCATGACAGACTCACCAATAGGTCACTTTGATTCCAGCACACATGAGTCAGATTCTGACTTGGCTGTGCTAAGCAGAAATCAAGATACTACAAAATCAATAACTTCACAAAGCATGCCAGCTTTGTGAGACAGGTCAATGCCACCATGCATACTCGTGCTCAAAAAACTTCCCCAGTAGATAGTTGAGGGACAAGGATTAATTTAGTGCTAAAGATCCCAATTCAATAACAAAGCCAACAGGTTGAAAAAGTTTTAATTGAAGAAGTTAAAAAATAGATTAAAGTTCCCAAGAACTCCCAAAAGGCGAAAACCCATAAATCTGACAATAGAAACAAATCTGGGGAAAAGCCAGAAATCAAAACAACAAAACAAGAAAGCTAGCTCTCTGCCTAATACATTTATCTAAACAGAAACAATTGATATTATATTAGTTAAATTTGATTCCACTGCTCTTTTTTATGAGGGATTGAATTAAAAGCAAATACCCCAATATACAGTGATTTATATGTTCATATGAGTGTTCAGTTTGTAATGCGTAGCCAGGATGTATGCTTCATTTGATTTGTGGTTATCTGTATTTGCTCTTGATAAATCCCTTTTATGGAAACAAAAATGAATAGTGCAAACATAGAAACAAAAGTTTTTGTTTAGGGAAGAAAAATATGAACATTTCTGAAAGGATGCCTTTTTATGTTTACGTGCTTGCTGGGTGTTGTAGGTTCTGGTGGCCCTTGGAAAAGCTTTATATGCTTTTATGCTGTGATTCAGTGGAAGGTCTAATGATCTGAAATAAGTTGGTTGTCCCAACTACAGCAGACCCATTGATCCAGTGAGATTAACATAACCAGTGACTTGGCATTGAGCAATTGATTTGTGCACCTACTTTAGTTGGGACTACCATTAAGATTAAACTTTATTTAATGTCATATATAACAGTACAGCTTCTTTTAACATAATCAAGAATAGTATTATTCTGTTTATTTGTTACATTTATATCCTGCCGTTTCTCCAATTAGCTCAGCAATGGTTTTGACTGATATACAGTACAATCTGCAAACTTTGGACTTGGAAGTCAGATGTTAGAAAAAGGAGCAGTCATCATTCCTGCTCTATTAATAATAAGATGACATAAGATGTTTACATAAAGTTTCTGTTCACCTGTCATACTGAAACATGTGATGTGTATCAGTCGTGGGAGCTTCAGCGCTATCTCTTCACATGATTGAGAAGAAAACTTTGCAAGCTTTGCATTTTTTTTATTTGCTTCTATTCATGGCTCCAGAACTGTGCTGAATATTACTAATTGCATTCAAAAATTCAGCTTCACAAATAGTTGGTTTGTTTGTGGTGGAGGGGAAGAAAAACCTAGGGTGTATTGGAATCAAAGATACACTTGAACATTATTAACATGACAACTGGAGTAATCATGTAAAATGCTGTGTAGTAATTGGGTTACTGTTTTGAGTCACACATACATCCCACTGCCCCATAGGTGGGATGTTCAAACTAAATTTTGTAGAGAATATAACGGCTGATTTATATGTGGGGAGAATCTTATATATTCCAGACATACTCATGTTTGTTTGGATGTACGTCCTACTGAATTTAGTGAATGTCCTTTTATGTGGCTGCGTATTCAAAAGGTGATATTGGAGGAGACCTTTAAGGACATTATGTACTGCTGGGAACACAAGTGAGTAGTTCTAGATCAAATCAAGCCTGAACTTGCTCTAGAACAAAAATGATAACACCGAAGCTGCTGAATTTTGAGAATATCATGAGAAGACAAGACTCACTGGAAAAGACAATAATGCTAAGAAAAATGGAAGCTGATAGGAAGAGAGGAGGACAAAGTCTGTGATAGGTTGACTCAATAAGGGCCATGAGATGAGCATGCAGAATCTGAGCAGGACTTTTAATGATAGGATATTTTGGAGGTCATTAATTTATAGGGCTGCCATTACTCAGAAGCAATCTGACAGCACATAACAGCACATATTTGTAAGATTCCAGCAGAAAGTGTCTTTGAACAGCATGTGTTAGGTTGTTAAATTATTTGAATTTTGGGGAATTGTATGCTATCTAATTGGAAGAACACATTTTGATGGATATGGTCGTAGCCAATTGCACTATTCTTCACCAAAGTGAAATAAGCTTGTCTACCTATTCCCTGAAGCATGGAATTTGATTACTGTTATAATTAGCTTAAAATGATAAATGGGTCATTGCACAGTTAAATAACTTAAGGCAAAATTTAATCTAGTGGAAGCAATTGTAATAAAGACATAAGGATGCCCTCATCAAAGGAAAGCCAAGTGTAAAAAAATTGCACTAGCAACCTTGATGAAGCTGCTGGAGTATTCAGCTGTAATATTGGAAGAAGAAATAGAGGTCACCCAGTCTGTCAAAGATCTAGAATGCATGCTTTTACAATGAGAGTCTTGCTTTTGAAGTTTCTAATTGTATCTCAAATGTTTTAAATAGTGTTAAGTTATTCCACCGTTTATGACCTCTGTCTGGGGGCAAATTGTTCTGGGCAGCTGTTCTGAATTGTTTGTTACCATAGTTCATGCTCATTAGCTTTGTCATCTGTGTTGGACTGGCATTAGGAATAATAATAAAAAAGTTTTGTATTACTCTTGCTTGCAGTAAATATGAAATAATCTAACAAAATAATAAATGAACTATCTAAATCAACTTTACACTTCTGAGAATTCCAGTAGAAAGGCTGATGATGCCCCAGTTTTTCACAGCTTGTATCACAAAGGAAACGTTGCTGTTTTAGGCATCAATCCAACTGAAACTGGTTATTAATATTATTGATTGAAACCAGTTAGTTATGATTAAAAATTAAGTACCATTGCTTTGACTGAGACATGATGAAGCTCAGCTTCAAGGGTGTGATTTGCCATTTCTTGAACTCATTTAGTTGGGAGGGTGGAGCCATTAAAGTCCAGGGCAGGGCCAAAATGGTCTTCAGACTATCAGAAATTGTCCATGCCAAGTTTTCATGCTACTGCAAGATACTGAGATCTGAGTGAACTTAGAACTGTATTCTAGAGTTAGTGTAAATCTTCTGAATAGCTAAGACAACTCTGGCTTCGAAACCAAACAAGCCAAGTCAGGCTGAAATAAGACTTTGATGCCTGCATGCGTGTAGTTCCATACTAGGGAACTGACGCCCAGCAGTTTGTTTGACAATGGTTTGTTTATGATGCAAGAGCAGGTGCCAGGTACCTGGTTTGTGCGTACAACTCCTGTAATCGCACAGAAGCCCCTGCAGATACAATAAAACACAGCATTGTTACTTTGGAATCATGTAGTAAACATCAGTCTAGAAATCAGAAGGAACAATGCCTTTGTTGTTAGGTGGGATTATGGGCTTCAAAATGTAAGAATCCTTCTTTGCAAACTCTTTGTCTCTTGAAATAATGAATGTTTTGCTAACGTTTGGATTGCCAGCAATAGAGTGTAAAGATGCGTAGCTCAGAGGTTCTTTTCATGTAAACCTTGCTTTGGCAATCATAATTTGTAGAAAGGATACCTTTGGAGATTGTTCATAATTTTCTGCTATGGAGGGGTTCTCTTCTTGTATGAAACAAGAAGAATTTATTTTGTTGAAGAAAGGATGCACTAAGTTATTTTAAAATAATAAAGTGCTCAAAACCAAGTTAATAGGCAGAACCAGTTTGTAACTTGCTGCACGTAACAAGAAATGATAAAAGAAGCCATATGTTAGAGACAGTTTTTTGAATCCATTTTACTACTGTTTTCAGAGTGACCTATAAACAGCTGAAATGGAATATATCATCCTGGAAAACTTTTATCTCTCAATGCTTTTTTATTTTGGTGCTTAGTCACTTTCTTTTTATCATTTAGATAAGATTGATTAGCTATTCCCTTTAATGACTTTGTTGGGAAATCTGGATTTATTTGTCACTATTTCTTTGAGTTTAATATGTTGGAAATACAGACCACATATGGCAGCAGAAAAGATGCTGTTGTCATATTATGAGTTCACAGTAACTTTGTAGGCTAAGTTCATAGTAAACATTTCGAGTTAACAAACATTCTTAGAGATTGTAATGTTTTAGTTGTATGCCATGTTGACTTTGAAACAAGTGTTGAAAAAAGGAGTGGGCAAGTAGAGTCCCTCTATGCAGAAGAATATCCCTAATTGTTCTTGAAAATGTTGCAGGCAGAGAAGGGGATGACTCAAGATATTTTACTGCTGAGACAAGAGTAGTGAATGCTCCACTTAAATCAAAGTTCCTGGTACTCAATGTTCAAACCATATCAGCACATCTTTCCATCCTTGACAATAAAGGACAGTAGAGGCCTTCAGAAACATCTTATCCTCTGAGATCCTTGTGGATCCATGAACTGGATATTTAGTTTGATTATCTGTGACCTCTAGATTTATTAGTGTTTTGGTCTTGGTCTCATTATTTATGTCTCTGTGAGCCAGAGTGGGTACTTGTGTTTTAACTGTTGTTAGTTAAAACAGTTAACTTAGTTAAAAGCACTGTTAGTGCTTAGGCACTATATGGCAGGGGTGCAAATGTAATGAATAAAATTAATAAATAAAATAAAATAAAAATACAATGGTAACAATGTGCATAACTAAGTATCTGCTGTGTTTTCATGACATGCAGATTCTGTTGTTTAAGACAGGTGCATCAATCTGCCTAATCATAGGTATGGCCCTCAATAGAAGCCTACTCTTCCCTTGAACCGGGTGAAGAGATCAGCATAGACATTTGCTTTTATTATACCTGTTGCATGACTAGGCGTATATCATCAAATAACCTGTGTCCATTTGCAGCTGAAATGTACATTGATGGGCTACTCCATTGTAGTTTTTCACTTGAATTTTGGCTAGTGAATAACGTTGTCATGGTTCTGTATCTGCTAGGAAAGTCTGTGTCATTCTCTCCTCTAGAATGGCAGGTACAAAGTAAAGGGCCTTACCTCCTGTTGCTCTCTTACAACTGTCCCTCCTTGAAAGGCATGACAAATCCAGTCTTGGTACACATAGTGAAATTGCCAAAGCCATATACATTTCTATACAATATGAATAGTAGAACTGAAGAACAGGAGTTCAAAAGATTTCTAGAAGGAATACCTAATTCATGCAGCTTTCTTGTTCTGTTATAAAAAGTAAATAGGTCTCAGAAACATCCATGAGTACAGAAGGTAGCTGCTTGATTATTCTGTGGATACAGTCCAGAGACCATGTACTTATCTGTATATTTTATACTTCTGTATCTTGAGAAATCCAGTTATGTCTTCATTTCAGGGTCCAGTTATGAACAGAGTCGTATGCACATTTATTTATGGGTCCTGACAATCTGCTTCAGAACTACATGACAGTAGACTTACATATGATTTTATTGTAAAGATTCTGGTGTAGGCATTATGAACCCCTAAACGCCTTGGGGCTTACTCACTGCCCATAAATTTGTGCAGTGGAGCGAAGACAAAACATTTGTGGCAGTGTGATAAGCCAAATTTCCTCTTACATAGCTGAAGAAGCAGGCTCACTGAGTGACCATCTTCTTCTATATAGATCATCTCACGCTGCACTCTTGGAATGGGGGCAGCTGTCTTTATCATACTGCTGACTAGTGAAGTTGTTGGCATGGAGGAGGGCCTTCTTTGTTGTAGTGCCTGCCATATGGAGTAGCCTCCTCCCTGAGATTGTGTTTCCCCGAAAATAAGACAGGGTCTTATTTTGCTCCAAAAACACATTGAGGTTTATTTTCATGGGATGTTTTATTTTTTAAATGTACAACAATCTATATCTATTCAAATACAGTCACGTCCTCTTCTTCTGGTTGCTGCACAATGGTGGAGGGAGGGGTTTCACTTTACTGGGCTTATTTTGGGGGTTGGGCTTTTATTACGAGCATCCTGAAAAATCATACTAGGGCTTATTTTCAGGTTAGGTCTTATTTTTGGGGAAACAGGGTAGTGATGAAAATGTCTAGATACATACATAGGTCTTTCCAGTGGCAACCAAGGACCTCTATGTTTGCCTAGACATTTTCCTCATTATCCTGAATTGTTAACATTATCAGTCACCTATGGTTTTGTGTGTTTGTTTCTTTTAGTTGATTTTAATATGTTCATTAATGTTCCATTATTTTAACGGTTTGATTAACTACTGGTTCGATTGAAATAGCTTTTATTGTAAACCACTTTCAGATTTTTAAAATAAAAACTGGTTTGGAAATGCTGTAAAACAAATACCTAATGGCCAGAATCCTGTTACTTTTGTCTAGTAGTATAAGTTTCTTGAGCCTGAGCTGACATTTGCTATTTTGCAGCAGTTGCATCACCAGCAAGTACAGTATCTATGCTTACGTCTTAACTTGTGTCCATTTGCAGCTGAAATTTACACTGATAGAATTGCAGCATTGTAATTTTTCAGCTGGGTTTTAGCTAATGAATAACATTTTCATGTTTTGTATCTGTTAGGGAGGTCTCTGTCAATCAGTTCCTTAGACTGTTAAGTACAAATGAAACAACCTTGTCACTCGTTGGACTATTACAATGAACCTCCCTTCTTGCAAAGCATGATAGATGCAGTCTTTGTACACATCTAAGAAGTGGAACTTCCCTTCTCTCAGAAAAATGCAGAGCCATATAAAGTTATTCTTTAATATATTGTTTGGTTTATTTGGGGTTTTATTTACTTTTTTAAACCACATTTTGTTTTTTATTATATTTTACTCAGTTTATTACATTTAATGGGTCATTCTTAGAAAAGGTGGGGTCAGCTTGAATAACTCCAGATAAATATGGCTGAGGATGACCTTCCAGAAAGAGGACAAAATAAAATTAGTTCCAAAACAAAGTGATAGAATTTGGAAAATTATTGTTCCATTAGGATAAAGGGCACAAGTAAAGGATTTGGAAGTTGGTTGTTGTGGGTTTTTCGGGCTCTTTGGCCGTGTTCTGAAGATTTGGAAGTTCTGTTATCTTACTGTCAAGAGTAAATTGTATTTTCAAAAAAAGGGGAAATGGGTATCTAACTCTGTTCAAATATATACTGTATGGATTAATACTAGAGCTGATGTTGGAGTCCTTGGTATGTATACAATAATTCAGTATTTAGCACTAATTTAGAATGCAGTTTTTATTGAGTCCATTCTGATACATTATATGCAATATTTTAGGTCATAACTTTTGCGCACAAGGACACAGATGTGGTGAAAACTCAGAATGCAGAAACTGGAACACACGAGCAACTTGTGAATGCAGAAGTGGTTATGTCTCTGTTCAAGGCGATTCTGCCTACTGTGAAGGTAAATAATCTGTTCCACAAAGTATCTTTATTTTAATCTGGTAAGAAATATTCTTTTAAAGAAAAGACAGAGCAGACAGTCTCATTATGAAGTTGAGCCTGCATGGTAGCATAGATGATAATATCCTCATTTGATTTTAGACATAGAAAGTTTAAATGGCCCTGACAGATGGAAAGTTCATCTGTGTGGTTTGCTCCCTAGAGGCTGTCTTGCTTCTTCGCATATTAAGCTGTCGTGCTTCTGGCTACAATTGTTTTTGCAATATAGTTTTTTTTTTTAATGAAAGGACTAAGTCGATAAACGTTGAAGATGGAATCACTGCTGTTTATGACTGCATGTTGCATCTCAAGAGGTGTGAAGAAACAATGAGATGATGGAAAAGGTGTCTCCTTGGCAAAGACATTCCCATGGATTCTCCTAAAACTTGTTTGGAATATATATATTAATGAATTTCACTTGTGATTTTGCCCTGATTGAGCACCTTCTTTTTCCTCGCTTTCTTTGCAAGTTAGACAGCTGTCATTCAGAAATTGGTTTTATGTGGTTGTACAGAAGACAAATAAGAGTAGAATTTTTTGTGCTCTTCCAATACTGCAGTGTGAAGTCTGGTTTTACATTTAGCAAAACGGGGCTCGCTTTAATTTTATGTTTACCTTCACAATGAAATTATTGAATAGTCTGAAGAGCTTGTTGAATTCTTTTATTGGTAAGAGAATGGAAGCTTTCCTTCACATTCTAGATTTTATCCCTCAATCACTGAATTTTAAATTGTCCTGATATATGTATGCCCTGATGTCATCATTTTCAGTTTGTGCCTTATGTTGTCCTTCTGTATCTGCTTTCTTTTTTTTTAAAAAAAGCTTGAATACATTGTTCTCAGTGTTCGGTCACTGTTGAGACCATCTTTCTTATTTCTTTGGTATTCAGTTTTTTTTCAGTGTGTGGCTGAAGAAGCATGAACAACTTATGCTCTGTCGTGACTCCTGAGCACCAGTTTAGGTCCCAGCATGAACGAGGAGAACCAAAGCAATGCCAGACCCTGTCAGTTGGAGGAGTGTTGTTGACCTAGAGTGTCCTCATGACCTGGGTCTCCAGGAGATAACGCTCCATCAGCCACATTCCCCTAAAGAACTGGCCTTTTAAGACCCTGAGACTCATACTATTTAGTAGCTGCTTGCTTGCAAAGGCAATGTACTTCACTGTCAGTGTGAACTGACAGATTGGACTTAAGAGAATTGGCTTTGCCAGCTGATCTGACAGTATAAACTGGCAGAGAGGAACTGACAATTCAGTCCCAGAATACAGTCCTACCCCTTTAAGGCTTTCCGCTGTTTAGGAATTTGTATCCAAGAGAGATATAAGGCCTTAGCTGATCTCTAGACATAATTAAGTGAACTCATTTTGCATTTTTAGACTGGTCTGATATCTAACAAATTAATGTTTGATGAAGTCTTCCCCTACCCTGGAATGTCCTCTTATTCCATAAACTCTGACTCACAGCAAGAATAAGGCATAATTTTTCACTCATCTAAGTATTATGTAAAGAAAGGATATATGTGCATGAGTGTGCACACACAGGCATATGCATTATGGGGCATAATTTTCACTCATCTAAGTATTATGTAAAGATATATGTGCATGAGTGTACACACACAGGCATATGCATTATGGGGCATAAACATAGGAACAAAAAATTTTTATTGAGTTCTGCAGGGTGGGAGGAAAAAACCTGTTATTTCTTCTTTCAGACCTGAAGAACATTCTAAAATGCTGCTGGCTGAACAATCACTCAATGTAAAAATTTTAGCCCTGTTTTCAAGGAAGCAAAGTGCCTTCTAGCTGTTTTGCCTTGAACGTGCATTAATGTGAAAAGCTGTCATAAAAGGCATTCACTTTGGTTTGCACAATCCCTTCCCTAGTTTATGGCACTGGCAGTTATTAGCTCATAGGCTGTTTCATGTTTTAAGAATGCTTTCTGTAGAATTATTTCTGAGCTTCCTTCCCTCCTGCTCAAATATACTTCAGGAACAGGGAGAAAAGAGTGTTCAGTAGAGAGAGATTAGTGAGTATTGGCTCTGCCCAGCTGAGCTGAAAAGCTGCGGTTTCCCCATACCTGCGTGGACTGAGAATGACCAGTATTGTGCTGTTCGTCTGAACATACCACAAATTGTAAGGGTAAAGTGGAATTTGGCAGCAACGATTAAAGACATGTCTGGACATTAAGTTTCTTTTCTTCACCTGCTCTTGCTTTTTAATTGAATATAAGCTTTCCCCCCTTTCAGCATGTAACGTTGGATGCTGTTTAGCCTGCCAACAACATTTTGATGCATTTTCTCCCTACATCATCATTTTGAAGGCCCTAATAAAAACGTTATTGGCTCCAAATTATCAGTTGTGCTAGAGGACAAGTATTGAAGGACAGTTTATTTGCTATAGCAGCAAAATGTTAAACACTGTTTTTGGGGGAGGGGTATGTGGTTTCCCTAAACTTTTACTGTATTTATTTTAGGGAGTGGTTCCTAGTCACCTAATTACTATTATATCCTAGGTGTGATAGAAATGGGCATCAAAAGGCAGTAAAAATACTCCTCTGGATATCCATCTACTGGCAGCCAAGACTGTTTTATTCAAGTGGGCTGTTGACAAAGGTGAAGCATAGATCTCATGATGCATTAATATTGAGGCTAGATGCATTCAAGGCCTCAGTGGTACAGACTGGAGGTGTGCTTTGAGAACAGCAGAGCAACTTATGTGATATCATTTTTATTGAAATGAGTGGTGGTAAATGGGTGCAGAAAATAAGCAGTCCAAGCAATTTGAATTGTAGCTTTATTCTCATGATGATGTATATAAAGACCACAAAGAAAACCAGCATGTTCCTTACCATTAACTGGGGTTCTCCAGACAATTATCTATGTAGTCACACAACTCATTGTTGTTCCCTTCCACAGGCACTGTCATGGTCTGTTCTTGCTCAGTGCTTCTTTATTTACTTGGCAGGAAAAGAGAAGGGAGGTTTACTTCATTAAACATACAACATCTAATCTGTTGATCATACAAATAAATCATTAAACATAAGCACTCAAAGTGAGGGTAGGTAGCCTACCAAACAGTAGCCTAATAATGGAAAATGCTGAAGTGTGACTCTACTGAGACAACCCATTTGGGTGCATGGATGGCCACTTGAACAACTAGAGCTAAAGTTAAACACATTTATCCATTTGCATAAATGTGTTTCAGTGATCTGACTTTCTAGTGCTATTCTTTCCCTCTTTTTTCTGACTACCTTGATCAACACTCAGTTCTTCTTTTAGTTTTTGTAGTGAATTGTAAAATTCACTACAAAAGTTTTACTTTTTCATTTTCTGCTTTACTGTTTCATCCTTTCTTTCTGCTAATTGAGATCCACTGAGGATCTGCTTTGAGTAATATGAAATATTTTATTCCTGTGTTAGTATTTCCTTATGTTTTGCATTTTATTAACTGAAAATTTAAGAGCAACGTAACTCATAAAAATGTGAAGAGAAAAGTGCCTGTATCTTAGCAATTAATTGGTCAAGGAAGTTCTAGAATAAAGACACACAAGTCCCTGAGACTCTGGACTCTTGTTTTATATATAAGAATCTAAAACAAATAAGGTGAACTCTTTGTGTCCTTAGGGACAAAGTTTTCATGTGATTGATTCTTACGACATCTTTTAGTTAGTTCTTTGTAACTATAATCAGCCATGAGACTAAGATTGTTGCTGCATAGCTGTAGTTGCCACATTCTTAGTTTGCCCAGCAGGTGAGGGGGAGCAAATTTTCCTCAATGCTTATGAGTGGTAGTGAGGTCAGTGGGTAAGGAAAATATGGAGAAGAGTAAAACATCCTGTCCTCAGTTCCACCATTTTAAGCAAGTTGGCATTCTCCTATGGGAGTGGTTCCCAGCACTGGGTCCCCAGGTGTTCTTGGACTAAAACTCCCAGAAGCCTTCACCACTAACTGTACTGGCCAGGATATCTGGGATTTGTAGTCCAAGACCATCTGGGGACCCAGCGTTTGAAGCCACTGCTCTAGGGCTTTATTCAGTTTTGTGCTTTTGTAGCTGTAAGGTACAACCACAGATCTGCTCCTCAGTATGTAATTTCACACTGCAAGGCTTTGAGTCACATCACACTGTTGTCAAAATTGAAGACAGCTAATTTCCATATAAACATTCAGAAATGGAAACAATTTGAAATCTCGCTTTGGATAGTTGCCTATTCTCAAAACTTTTATTCAGATATCTTTATAATTCTCTCTTAGATCTTCCTTCATTGTGTCAATTTACAAATAAAATAAGAGAGAGAGAGAGAGAGAGAGAGAGAGAGAGAAGAAAAGCAAGTCCCTTGTTTTGCTGGACCAATGTTACCTAATCCACAGCTGCTTAGGGATCTAGCATTATTGTGAATAGACTACTAAGAAGCATTTTCAGGTGTCCCCTTCTTCAGGCTGCGGAAAGCACATGCTCTTTCCTATCCAGACATTGATGTTTCTGTTTTGTGAACAGCAACTATCAGTGCTCAGCTCCCTTTGACCACCAGTTACTTGCTGGTGTAGTTACATGATCTCTACAAATAGCATGCTGCCTCTGATGCACACTCCTTCCTGTATGGATCAGAGGCTTTCAGACTGCACCACAGGTGTTTTTGAAGACACCAACAGCTTGGGTGGTTTCTGTTCTGACCTTTTCTTTTAATTACATATTCTCCTCTAGCAGTAACTGCTGGAAATGGCAGCCACCTCTCCTGAACAGATTGACTTACAGGCTGTGCTCTGTTTTTCTACTTATCCTATCTGTTCTAATTCCCTGCTTTGCTTCTTAGGGGCTCATCCTGTTACATTTTGTGCACAGTTGTCTGTTTCCATCTTGATATGCACCACGGGAAACCCGTGGTATGCAGAGAGATTTATCATAAAGAAAACACACTGTTATTCCTCCATGTGAGGTTGTGCCAGTTTTTCCGCAAAACAGTTTTC